AGAAAAGAAAGAAGGAAAAAAGGAAGAAAGAAAGGAAAGAAAGAAAGAAGGAAGGAATGGAATGGAGCATTTATTTGCCCCTCTATGTGTCAGACATTGTGCAAAGCACTTTACAAATATCTCATTTGATATAGACCTGTGAACTCATTAATGTAGATGTTCCCTTCAATGGAGCAGAAGACAGCTCATCAATGCCTGTCCTTCCCATATTGTGACAATCTTGTTAGTATCCACACATCACAAAGGAGTCCTTCCTCCTTTTCTGTTGCCATCATGAATGTACCAGTGAGCTGTTTAGGAATTATCTTTTGTTCTTGCTACATGACCAGCCCATCTTTTTTCCATCATGAATTTCTTTGATGACTGCCATTACTTTGGTTTTCCTTTGTAGTTCCTTGTTTGTTGTATGGCAGATGGGTTACACCCACCATCTACCTCTCCCCTACCCTCTGAGTGATATTCATTTTAAATTTTTTGAAGACTGTTGTGTTCCTTGACAGGGGGTGACCAATACCCTACTGACCTATTTCAGGATCAAATTAGTAATGTGTATAAAGAGCTATAGAAATGCTAATTATTGTTATAAGGTGGGCAGAGGAAAAGAGATGACATGAATTTGCCCCTATAATGAAGGTGGTGATGGTCATTTGGACAAGATTAGTCGGTGACATGGTTGTCAGTCTTGGAACCCATTAAAGAATGATTCCTTTTCTTATTAGCCATTTATCATTTCCTGGAAGCATTCAAGATTATGGCAAAGTAAGGTTATTGAGCTACATAAGGGGTGGCTTGCACTACATAGCAAGAATGTGATCCTGAAATGCTTAGCTCCGTGGATCTTTTTATCAGCTTGTCCTCCTTTCAAGTCTCCCCACTGAACTCCTTGGTCCTGAACCTCTTTCTTTCACTATAAACACAAAAGAATGAACAGAGAATAAAGGGTTAATGCCAAATGAAATCTATGCTTCTCCTCTCCCCACCTCCCCCTGTGGTTTTTGGCCCTCTGAAGCTATAATCCCTTTTCTTTGGTTACACAGAGAGCAGCTTTGCATCTTTCTCTCCCACATGCTCTGTATTATGTAAAACATCATTTAACTTTTCACCTGCCTATAACTGAGTTCTAAGAAGCTTCCTGATAGCACCTTAATTTCAGACTAGATTAGTTTGCATTTGATTTCCCCCTTCATTGGCCTTTCTAGTTATTGCTTGCATTGCTATGAGTACCTCATTGCCCTGAGTGCTGATAAAGTAGAGGCCTTCCACTAGCTGACAGGAAAACCTAAAGTGAATTGCACCTCCTGACGACATAGTAGCTAATTCACCTTTACAACCTGCCAGCTTCTATTGATTTTATCTTAATTCTTCCTCCTTTATGAAATAAAGTGGACTTTCTTGAATTCTTGTGTTGGATTTCATTCAAATTTGGGTAAATCAGCTGGTTTTTTTCCCCTTTTCCTTTTGGTTTCATCTTTGGATAGCTGTATGCAGTCCTGCTCCCAAGGGAAGATAAATTGGCAAAAAGGACAGACTTCATTGAAGAGGCCTCTTGCTTGTTTCATCCCAATTTGACAAAAAAGTGCAGGAGTAGATTCTTAGGAATTGTTATTGCTTTGCGGCCAGGTAGGAGATGTATGTGTGTGTGTGTGTGTGTGTGTGTGTGTGTATACATACACATACATGTGTATATACAGACAGTTCTTGCTTTACGTAAATTTGCATTACAAAAATCAGACTTTACGTAAAGAATTCTGAAAGAAATATACATTACCCAAAAAGTATACCTATGTTAACTTTACTGTACAGTACTGTTCTCGTTCTCTGTCTCTCTGTCTCTGTCTGTCTCTCTCTGTCTCTGTCTGTCTCTGTCTGTCTGTGTCTGTCTGTCTGTCTCTCTCTCTCTCTCTCTCTCTCTTTCTCTTTCTGCCTCTCAGCTGGGTGCTCCCCAGCCTCCCATCATTTCCCCTTAAAAAAAAAAACAAACCAAAACCCTTCCAAGAGAAAGTAGAACAGGCCTTGACTACCATTGCTGCTGGATTGGAGCTTGGCTTGAGACCTCTGGTGCCTAGAGAAGAGACTTTTGCCCTGCTCATCTTTTATCTGTCTGTGCTGGGGTATTGCATGTCTGTCCCCAGTCCCCAGCTTTAGCTTCTCTGTATTGCTTGCTTCTCCATGTCTTTGAATCATGTCCTGACTGCCTCTCCCCCACTCCCCACATTCCCTGGGCTCCATTCCTTTCTCCCTCCCTCTCTATTTCCTTCCCTTCCCCAAGTCCAAAGGCAAATTTGCATTACATAAAAATTTACATAGAAGTTTGTGGAACAATCCACTTACCTAAAGTGAGAATTGCCTGTATACATACTTGTATGTATGTAGATATATCACACTATCTACCAAGGTTCTCCTCTCCTCACTTCCAACCCAATTTAGGTTAGCTTTTCCCCTAAAACCCAACCATCTTGCTGGTGACTTCTAGTCAAATTGATGGTCACCTTAGGGCATTAAAAGCCTATCTACATGAATTGAGGCCCTTTAGATTTGGTGGATATCCCAAGTCTTTCTGAGTCACCATACCCTGCCCTGTTGACCAGATTCAGTTTTATATGAAAGAAACTACATGCTGGTGTATGCTTGTTAAATAACCTTTCTATGCTATGGCTAAGTAAATCACCTTTCATTGACAATCAAATGACTTGTGAGAGTCTCATTTTGTTTCAACATTCAACATAAACTAATGGTGACTGGCCTGAGTTACAGCCATCTGTTACACCCCTTTGTAAACAATGAGTTGGGGGAAGATTGAGTGCCATTTCATGTCTTGCTTGCTGACTGAGACCTCTTTCAAAGTCTTCTTCCATGATTTGCTAGTGTAAGGTGACTGATCTCTCTCTAAATTTATGCCAGTTGAGTGCAAACTCTATTTGGTTCTTCCAAGCTAGAAGGTCTTTGGGGATGTTCAGTGATGGACTTTAATTTCCCACAGTTGTATTCCTTTTGACTTCTCCATCCTGCCCCAGGAACCTCTTCATTCTGTAAGATCTTATGAGCCCTGGTACTCATATCTCATCATCTGTAGCGTCTCTGGCTGGAGCTCTGATTAGGGAATTCCTTCCAGAACCTCCATTTAAGGAGTATACTCAAGCCAGCCATCTCTCATTTCCCACCTGACTGCCCTCCTTTGAACTTCTCCATCTTGACCCTGTGCTGGCTACCTCCTCAATCCCTTTTCATTCTCCTTTTGTGTATTGCCTTCCCCCATAAGATTAGAGGTTCCTTGAGGGCAGGGATTGTCTTTTTAGTACTGTATTTGTAACCCCAGCACTCAGCACAATGCCTGACGCATAAGGGGCACTTGTTTATTAACTGATTGACTTTATATCACTGGAGAGCCATCCTAGGGAGCTAAGTGGTGAAGTGGATATAGAGAAGGACTTGAGATTAAAAAACAAACAGACCTGTGTTCAAATCCTGGCTCAGACATGTACTAGTTGTGTGACCTAGGGCAAGCTACTTAACCTCTGCTTTAGTTTCTTGTCTATAAAATGGGGTTAATAACAGCACCTACCTCACAGAATTGTGAGATCATGTGAACTAACATATGTAAAGTGCTTCACAAACTTTATATATGCACATATGTATAGTATAAACACTAGCTATTCTTCTTCTTATTAGCCAAGTCTCAGATCTTCAACCTCTCTCTACTAGGAGCTTCCCCACTGCCTATAAATATGCCCCTATCTCCCCCATCCTCAAAAACCTCTCATGATCCTTTCTCCATCCCTTTTTAATTCTGGTGCCTTTTTCTCTGTTGATTGTTTCTATTTATCCTGTATATAGCTTATTTGTGTGTAATTGTTTGGAGCTCATAGAGAACAGGAACTTTACCTTTCTTTTCTTTGTATCTCTAGCACTTAGCATAGTGCCTGGCACAGAGCGGGCTTACTATGCTTATTTACTGACTGACTGACTACATTGGACATAAGGAAATGAATATTTTAGCTACAGCAACTAGCAAAGACCACTGATAGGTCCTAAGGAGGTTGTAATCTATTTGGTGGGTAGAATAACCATACCCCCCCCAAAAAAAAAATTAGTGATTTTTACAGGACTGAATGAAAAAGAATCTATTAAGTGACAAGCATTCTATCACTAGAGATACAAAGATAAAAGGTCAGACTGTACTTGCTCTTGAAGAGCTTATGTTTTGACTAGGGTTAGACAACATATTAAGAGGGGTGTTGGCCAGAGTGGGATGTCACTAGGGCCAAGTATAACCTAAGGTCCCTGGTTGACATATTCTTTGCAGGAATGGTAGTGTTGATTTGATTACTAGTGGAAAGGGAGTGGGGCAGGGGTGACTTGAAGATTGTAAGAGAACAGTGAGTGAGTTGGGGTCTGTCACTTCGTATGGAAAACTCTTACTAGTCAGCTGTCCAGAATGAGCACTGGTCTGGTCTGAGGCAGAACATTTAAAAATAGTGTAAGAAATGAGCTAGATATCAATCCACTGGACTTCTAGAAATAGAGATGTTGAAATCTCAGAGGAAGGTGAGGGGAGAGGGTTAGATTCCTTTGCTCTGTGTAGCAAATATCCTTCCCCAGGGTGGTGGTGGGGGAGGACCAACTGTGGTGTGGTGGAAATTGCACTACCTCCAGAATTAGAAAACTTGATTTCAAATTCTAATCATTTAGACAAATTGCTTAACAACTTCCCTGGGCCTCAGTTTCTAAAATTATGACTATATTCATATATACACGTAATGTATAAATAAAACATACTATGCATTATGTTAGGATGTAATGAAGCATAAATATAGAAATAAGCATATTATGTGTTACATTTCAATATAAATTTATGACACAAATTTATATTACACAATCCACGTATATATAAAATTTCTCTTTTATCTCGAGTTCTCTATTGATACATTGGTCTGGATTATGGAACTATCTGGAAATCTGACTGTATTTTTGGCCAACATTTTTTTCTTTTCTGAATCTAGACAACTTTGCTGGCTACAATTGTGGAGAATGCAAGTTTGGCTGGACAGGTCCCAACTGCACTCAAAAGAAGCCACCAGTTGTTCGGAAGAATATCCATTCTTTGACTCCTCTAGAGAGAGAGCAATTCCTGGATGCCTTGGATCTTGCAAAGAACACGATCCACCCAGACTACATAATTACTACTCAGCATTGGCTGGGCTTGTTGGGGCCTAATGGAACCCAGCCACAAATTGCCAACTGTAGCATTTATAACTTCTTTGTGTGGTTACATTATTACTCTGTCAGAGACACACTATTAGGTTGGTTTCCCCCCCCTTTGTTCAAAGTATATCATTAGGAGTAGAGTAAAAAGGGAATGATTTATTTCGGTAAGTGGGTTTATAAGAGATGAGAGCAAATTGCAGGGAAAGACAGGTTTATGAATGTGTCATAGCTTAACCCCAAATACCTATAGTTAGTTAGGTTGAGCTTATTGTATAACTAATAATAGTAGCTAGCTTTTAAAGTTTTCAAAGTACTTTACATAACTTATTTCATTTGAGCTTCACAATTATCCTGAAAGTAAAGAATTAAATGGCCATAGAAGAATAAATTTAGCGCTTCTAGGAACCTTTTCACAGAAGAAAAAATTGAGGCTGAGAAAGGTTATATGATTTGGTCAGGTTCACACAAATGCAGGATGATGTTAAATGTTTAAAAAAAAACAGTCCTCCAGAAAAAAGTACCCATTACATACTTTTAACATACATTATTTCACAGTTTCTCCATCATTTTCTTCAGTCTAGAGTAGAGGTGAGCAAACTGTGATCCAGAGACCAAATCTAGTCTGCCACCTGGTTTTGTATGGCCCTACAAATTGTTTTTACATTTTAAAATGCAATAAACCTTTATTTAAAAATGTAAAAAATCATTCCTAGCTGAGGGTTCCCCTGAGGTCTGTGATTTGCTGACCCCTAGTCTGGAGAATCAACAAAACAATAAAAGAAAGTCTGCTTTGTTCCAAGTCAGTAAGAGTTGACTCTAGAGCAGTAGGGTTGAGATTTGAACCTAGGTGCTTGGAAATCCAGAGCATCTGAGCTCAAGTCCTGATTCTGACCCTTATTACCTGTACAGCTCCTTTTTTCTGACCCTTATTACCTGTACAGATCCTTTTTTCCCCCAGATAAAGAAACTGAGATTCAGAAAGGGTAAGTTACCTGTGCTCACAAAGCCTCCATGTATTAGAAGGGGGCGGGAGGTTGAACTCAGGTTATTCTGACTCCAAAAGTCTAGGTTGGAAGACTATACTAGTTATTTCCTTAATTTAGTTTTTCTTTTTTCCTTTCTCCTTGGTTATGTGGTTCATACTCTCAACTTTTCAGCATGGTGCCATTAATCCTCAAAGCCAAGAACTGATGAAGTGAAGACTAATTTAGTTTGGCTCAAGAAAAAGAAAAAAGGAGAAAACCCAACACATTCTTAAATGTGTGCACAGAATAGCTCAGGGAACTTTTCTTCAAATTAGGGGATTTAATTAAAAATATGCCTATACAAGTAAAAATCCCTTGTGCAAAGCTAGGACTTTCATGTTGAAAAGCATGTTTGAGTTGACATCTTTGTGAACACCTTTCTCATAATCATCAGAGTCAGCAGATACCCATAGGGTTAGAGAGTACCTTTTCTTATGTTACTAAAAAACTAGGTGATGGTTTTTGGCAAAGGAAAGCGGCATCACAGTGGATTTGATCCTTCCTATCATTGTGAATTCTTTTAGGGTAGAACTCTGGGAAAATGTCCAAGAAAACTGGGCTCTACCCTTCCTTCCAGCCTCATTGTTTAGCTTAGCCTGAGAGCAGACTTGGAGGTCAGGGCCTGAGGGCAATGTGAAGGATGGAAGGATGTGTTCTCTGGTTTTCTGCATCAAGACAGGTTAGTTTTGTTTGAACTTCATCTCTAGAGAATGTCATGAAGACCATTCTCAGCTTGCCTAGGGTTTCAATATATTCCTGAACCTACATCAAAATAAACTGAATCCTTTGTTTCGGAAATGGGCCTGTGTTAGGATGATATAATGACATAATGGAAAGAGCATTGGATTCAGAGTCAGAGGTTCTAAATTCCAACTTCAGCTTTGCCACCAACTTACTACCGTGTGGCAGCTAGGTGACACAGTGAACAGAGCGCCAGGCCTGGAGTCAGGAAGAGCTCTGTTCAAATCCAGCCTCAGATACTTAATAGCTGTGTGACCCTGGGCAAGTCACTTAACTCTGCCTCAGTTTCCTCATCTGTAAAATGAGCTGGAGAAAGAAATGGCAAACCTCTCCAGTGTATTTGCCAAGAAAACTTCAAATGGGGTCACAAAGAATCAAACATGACTGAAACCATTGAACAACAACTACCATTACTATTTGTTTGATATCGACCAACTCTTTGAAATGTCCTTCCACTAAAGGCCTGCTGTAATGCTATGTGTGGCAAGGAGGTGACCCTGGCGAATCTATTATGCTGTAATGGCTTTGACTTTGGTCACAGTGATGAACTATTCTCTTTTTTTTAAATCTTTTTTTGCTAGGCAATGGGGTTAAGTGACTTGCCCAGGGTCACACAGCTAGTAAGTGTCAGGTGTCTGAAGCCAGATTTGAATTCAGGTCCTCCTGACTCCAGGGCCAATGATTTATCCACTGCACCACCTGGGTGCCCCAGTGATGAACTGTTCTCCAAGGACCTGTCTAAGGTTGGAAGAAATAAATTAAAAAGCACTTCTTAAGCACTAAAAAAGAGTTCAGCTTCCTCATCTATAAAATTAGGGGTTTCTAAGTCCCTTCCAACTCTAAATATATGATTGTGGGACCCTTTGAATTATTATAAACCCCCTTCAAAAGCAGAGAATGATAGATCAAGGGCTGGAATGGGGCTCAGAGTATACTTAATAAGTATTTAGCTAAGCCATCCAGTCCAACTCCTTCATTTTACAGATGAAGAAACTGAGGCCCAGTGATTTGCCCAAGGTCGCATAATCAATAAGTATCATAAAAGCCTCTGTCTACCATACTGAGCATGATGCAGAATCTGATGCTGGCTTCTAGAAGTGAAGAGTTTGTTTTACCTCTGTTCATTCCCTATAGTCTCACTAGATTTCCCTTCAGTCTTTTCCTTTAAGACTTTCTGCCTTGGTTCTGGTTAAGGATCATGAAATAACACCTCAGAGATAGTAGGTGTTCTTGCAATGCAGGGCGTGTGTGTGTGTGTGTGTGTGTGTGTGTGTGTGTTTAAATAAACCTTCACAGTTTTCATATAATTATCGTAAGATATTTGAAGGAAGCTTAATAAGAGGAAGGGGAAAACATAGTTTCTAGTGGTCTCCGAGGAATCAGTTTATACCTTGCACATTTCTTGTTCACCTTTCTGAATCATTTAGAGGCAGTCTGTCAACTCCCTTTCCTTTCAGCAAATTGTAAGCATCTGCTATGGACAAGGAACTAGGGATACATAGAGGAAAAAAAATACTTTCCTTGCCCCTTGGACGAATCAGTAAACTACAAATAATACCAAAGTTGTTAAAATAAGAAAGAAAATAAAAGAAAATGCGAAGTGCTATGAAAAAGCCGAGGAAAGATTGACTGCTTAATTGTTATTGTTGTCGGTTGTGTCTGACTCTTTGTGACCCCATTTGAGTTTTCTTGGCAGAGATACTGGAATGGTTTGGCATTTCCTTCTCCAGCTCATTTTACAGATGAGGAATTAAGGCAAAAGGGTTAAATGATTTGCCCAAGGTCACACGGCTAGTAAGTGTCTGAGACCAGATTTGAATTCACAAAGAGAGTCTTCCTGACTCTAGGCCTGGCCCTCTATCCACTGTACCACCTAGCTGCCTGGCCTCATCTAGCTTAGAGATTAGAAGCTTCATGGAGGAGTAGTCCTTGAATTCGGCCTTGAAGGAAGGGAAAGTCTTAACAGGTGGAGGTAGATTAGAGTCCATTTTTAGGCAGGGGGGATGGGCTGAACAAAAGTTTAAGGGAGAACACAGGTTAAAAATGAGAATCATAGATCATCCTAGGATTGTAGATCTATAACTGAAAGGGAGATCAAACGTCCTTAGTCTCATCATTTAACAGACATATGAATACTAGAATTTGGAAAGTTTAAGGGACTTGCCCAAGGTCATACAGATTGTAACATGAAGCCTGGATTTGAACCTAGGTTCTGTAACTGACTAGTACTCTTCCCATTTCTTTAGAATCCAGCATAATTGGCATGTAGAGTAAGTACCCTTGATGGCTGTAATAGAATAGACACATCCTGAAGAGGAAAAATAAAGGTGTAACTGATGGTTTGGTAGTTGTCAAGCAGGTACAAATATCTTCACTTTATGTGAAATATTGTATATATGAAAATATTCAAATTGGTTTGAATTTCTTTATCTTATCCCCATAGTAATAGTACTCTCTCTCTACTCAAATTATAATTTATCTATTTTTATGTTTACATACTGTATCTCACCAAGTAGAATATAAACTTCTTGAGGGCAAGGACTGTTTCATTTGTTCTTGTGCATAGGGGATGCCTTAATATTAATGCTCATTGGCTTTGGCTTGGATTGTGTGATCTTGGGCACACATACACACTAGATAATATCTGAGGTTCCTTCCTGCTCTCAGTATGGCCTTAGATTAGGGGTTGGAAAACTATTGTCCCAGGGCCAAATCCAGCCTTTTGCCTGTTTTTGTACTGCTCATGAGCTAATAATGGTTTTTGTGGATTTGGTTTGTGATCTGTAGTTTGCTGACCCCCACCTTAGAGAAATGCCAAATAAATAAGTTACCCCCACTCTCCCATAGCATTCCAACTGAAATGTCAGGCAGTCAGTGGCTCCTTCACATTATATCTCTTAATCTCTTCCCTACTGAATTCCTAATTGTTTCAGGACCAGGGCGACCGTTCAAAGCCATAGATTTCTCCCACCAAGGGCCTGCATTCCTTACCTGGCACAGGTATCATTTATTGTTGCTGGAAAGAGATCTCCAGGTGAGTCAAAATTCTAATATTTCTGTGATTTCAGAGATGCTTGCTTGTCAATTCTGGTTCTTTGAACTTTGCTATAGATGTGGTAGGTGTTAGTACCAACTTTTTTTGGGGACAACTTGGTTGGTAGTGTGAAATAGTGACCATATTTTTTTCCTTCTTGATTTTAGAGACTCACTGGCAATGAGTCTTTGCATTACCTTACTGGGACTTTGCCACAGGGAAGAATGAATGTGATGTCTGTACAGATGACTTATTTGGTGCTTCAAGACTGGAAGACTCAACCTTGATTAGTCAGAATTCAAGATTCTCCCGCTGGGAGATTGTATGTGACAGGTATGAAACATACAGCTGGAGTGATTTTTTTTTTACCCTTATGCCTTGATGAGCCATATATTAAAAGTACTTTTCAATGTCTATTTTTAATGCCTTTTAATGTATGTTTAAAGGGTGACATGGAAGAATTGTGGGGCCCAAAGGGCCTGGAGTCCTGTGTCCAACTTTAGGCACAGGCAAAGGGTTGGATTTGGTTTGATCCTGGTGAAGTCTGGTCTCTCTTATTAGAGGAGCTGGGCTCCCTTTTTCACGGTCTTCATTTTATTAAATTTTACCTTGGAATTATGAAGAATGACTTATTATACTTAGGTTTAGGCTCATATCTCTGTTTCCTTGAAAGGGGTGAGAAGAAAGGTACTCAATTTTCCATATAAATCAGGTATGATAAAAGCTATTTATTTCCTGTGCAGAAAAGCAATGTTAAAATGCAAAAGACTCTCAGAAGCTGTGGATTCATAAGACTTAAACTAAACAAGTAGCTGTGCTAGCTACTGTTATATCCCAAATCCACTTAAACATAAAGCAGTTTGTGGGATTGCTGATGATGTATTTTCCATTTTACCTCTTACTGGCCAAACAACTTTGGGCATATATTTTCTGGTAAATCTTGTTAGGTTGTTAGGAGACCTTCTCCAATACTTCAAAATATTGGTGATGGACATATATCTTCTGGTAAAATAGGCCAACCTGGGACCAGTCCTACTGTTGGTGGCCATCTTCTCCAAAAGCACTGGAATAACTCCTGGGCACACCTTCCTTTGCTGTAATTGAGCTTTTACCAAAAGGTTCCAGGACTTTCACCATTCACAAGAATGCCTCTAAATGTAGATGAATCCGTTTGGAAATAGATTCTTATTCATCCAAGATCAGGAATGGAAATATGAAGCAGAAGAGGCAATCAGGGGCCCAGGCACAAGTCTGTTCAGTCAAATCCCTTGCTCTAACTACTACATGGGTATGGCTACCATGATGCAATGGTTGAGAAGGTCCAGCTTTTTCCTACTCCTCACTGCAAGCCTTAGTATTATATGACAGCCAGCTATTGAATTGAAGAAAGAGAGACATAGCTGGAAGCATTCTCTTTTAATTGACACAGCACTCATTTCCCACCCTCCATGCCAAGGATTAGAGGAAAGACCAAGAAGTACTCCATACCAAAAGATCAAGTTCTTTAAGAACTGGGCTATCACATGTCTAGAAGAAGTTAGGAAATTCATCATCTCCAGTGCACCTTAATGTATTACCATGTACTGGGGGTTCCCAGAGTTTTTTGGGGTGGGAGTACTTTGGGTACATGCTCCCTAGGACATTCTTGGTAGGACAAAATCAACTTCCCTGACAAAAGTATCTTTAAAAATTATATTCTGGTGTAGGCTAAAATTTATGTTGCTCAAACAAACATCTTTAGCAAAGATGTACCTGAACCAAATATAGTTGAACTTATTAGGTTGCTAGGAGACCTCCAATACTTCAAAATATTGGTGATGACCATTTAAGCCCTAAATATATAATTGTATAATATCATCAGGAAGTTATTCCCTACACCTATTCTGATTGCAACCCCTGAATGCTTTAATAGCATCTTTGTGAGTTGTGAGGGTCAAAAGTATTTATTAGCTGTTAGCCAAACAGGTGATGATCCTCTTTGACCTTAGCAAGTCTGGTTATGGAAGGAAAAATAAGCCCATTACTGAGCTTGGATTAGTAGGTTCTGCCAGAACTTGTCCATGCTGGCATAGTCCTTAAGAAGCTAGGGTCACCCCCAAGAAAAGGCTTTTCAATAAAGGTGATTCAATTCAGCAAAATTCAACAAATTTATCAAACACTTACAAAGTGTAGAGCACTGTTCTGAGCCTGGAAGGGGTGTGAAATCTAAACTATAAATTAGCCATGATTCCTGCCTTCCTACAGCATCTAGTTTAGAGATAGATAACTGTAATACATTATGAGCACATTAAGAATGAAACAAAAAAATTCTGTGTGAGGTTTGAGGGGAAAGTCATTAACAACAGTCAAGATCAGGCATGATGTTAGATACTGGAGATAAGAACAAAACAAAAAACCCCCCCAAATGATGAAACAGTACCTCCCCTCAAGGAGCTTACATTCTATCTACAAGATAGGTGTGTTAACTTGGTCAGTTTCATCTATAAAATCAGGGCTTTGGATTACATAAACTCTAACAGCATTCTATCATTCTTGAATATAGCTTTTCATGAAATGCACCATGACATAGTGAGTAATTAGTCTACCTTGGAGCCAAAAAAGATATGAATTCGAGGCTCACCTCTCAAACATTGGCTCGGTGACCCTAGGCAGTTCCTTTAACTTCTCAGTACTCTAAACAATTCTCTAACACTACAATATTAATACTAATACAGAGAAGATGCCAATCTGCATTGGTAGAGGGAGTTTCCATGTTTGGGAGCTCCTTATACCAAAGAAATCACAGGTCTAACCCACAAAAACTGTGCTCTGTAGAATAACTACAAAACACTCCTTATAGAGATCAATAAATCAAATAATTGGAGAAACATTAATTGTTTGTAGGCAGGCCAAAATAACATAATAAAAATGACAAAGCTGTCTAAATTAAATCTACATATTTTTCATTGTGCAAATCAAAATATCCTCTGGAGGAGGAGGTCAAGAATCTCAAGGGAAATGATGAAAAAAAGTGAGAAGAAGAGGATCTAACAGTACCAGATTTCAGATTATATATGCATGCATACATACATACATACATACATACATACATACATATATATATGCAGTAATCATTGAAATGATTTGGTACTGTTTTTTTTTTAAAGGGGTTGATACAGTTGAAATAGATCATGTTGGAACAGATCAGGTACATACCATGCACAAGCAAACAAATCTAGTAGCTTAATGTTTTAGAAACTGAAAGACCCCAGCTATTGGGGCAGTCACTCTGTTCAACATAAAATGCTGAGAAAACTGAAGATCAGATTGGAAGAAATTAGATTTACACCAACACTTCACACCATTTATCAAGAGACGCTCCAAATAGATGCATGACTTAGATATAAGAGATCACAAATTAGAAAAGCAAGGAAGAAAATTTCTGCCAGACCTTTGGGTAGGAAAAGAGCTTATGGTCAAACAAGGGATAGAGAGGAGCATAGAAGGTAAGATGAATAGTTTTGGTTACATAATTTTTTTTTTGCATTTAATTTTTATAATTCTGTGTAAACAAAAAATTTTGACATTTGGTTTTTAAAATTGAGTTTTAAACTCCTTCCCTCCCTCCCATCCCTCCCCCTTTCTTGAGAAGACAAGCAATTTGATATAGATTATACATGTCCAGTCATGACAAACATTTCCATATTAGCCACGTTGCAAAAGAAAACAGACCAAAAAACCAAGATTGATAAAGAAGGTTTAAAAAAAAGTATGTTTCAATCTGCATTCAGACTCCATCAGTTCTTTCTTGGAAGCTGAATAACATTTTTTTTTTATCATAAGTCCTTTGGAATTGTTTTGAGTCATTGTATTGCTGAGAAACTTGCTGTAAAACTTTCCACTGAGTTTCCTGCTTCCATTCTAATCTTGGCCACATTGGTTTTGTTTGTGCAAAACCTTTTAAATTTGATGTAGTCAAATTATCCATTTTACATTCATAGTGCTGTCTATCTCTTGCTTGTTCATAAATTCTTCCCTTATCCATAAATCTCATAGGTAAAATATTCCAAGCTCTCTTAATTTGCTTATGATATCATTCTAAATCATGTCTAAATCATGTACTCATTTTTACCTTATCTTGGTATATGGTGTGAGATGTTGGTCTATACCTAGTTCCTGCCAAATTTCTTTCTAGTTTTCCAATAAATTTTTGTCAAATAGTGATTTCTTGTCTCAAAATCTTGGATCTAAGCATTAGATTACTATGGTCATTTACTACTATGTATTGCATACCTAATTTATTTCACTGATCCACCACTCTATTTCTTAGCCAGTACAAGACTACTTACAAAAAATTAACAAAAAGGTTTTTTTTTACACATACAAAATTAATGAAGCTAAAATCAGAAAGGAAATAGTTATCTGGAGAAAACCATCTTTGCAGCAAGTTTCTCTGATCAAGGTCTTATTTTCTATATATAAAGAATAGATTGAAATTTATGAGACCAAGAATGATTTTCTAAACAATAAATGGTCAAAAGATATGAAAAGCAGTTTTCAAAGGAAGAAATCCAACCTATCAGCAGCCATATGAAAATATATTCCATGTTGTTAATAGGTAAAGATAAATCAAAGCTCCACATCACACCCATTAGATTGGCAAAGATGAAAAAAAAGAAAATGACAAATGTTGTGGGGGGCTGTGGAAGAATAGGCATATTAATTCAGTATTAATAGTAATTGTGAATCAGTATAGCATCCTGGAAGGAAATTTTGAACTGTCTAAATTCATCTATGTATATATGCACCCTTGTTCACCTAGTAATACCACTACTAGGGCTATACTCCAAGGAGATCAAAGAAAGTGGAAAAAGACCCACATATTAAAAAATATATTTATACACCTCTTTTTTTGAGGTGGCAGGGGTTGCTTTTGCCATAGAAGAGGATGTTTCCTCTGTGTAGGCATCAAGATCACAGGTAATAAGCTTTTATTGTGAGAAAAGCCCATAAGTGGTCTCCCCCTCACCCCCTGCCCAACCCCAATTCATGGTCTTTTCCATAACTTAACATTTCTATGGCTTCTAATCTATTTTTTTAAAAATTGCAGCTTGGATGACTACAACCGCCGGGTCACCCTGTGTAATGGGACAAATGAAGGTCTGCTGAGAAGAAATCAACTAGGAAGAACTAAAGAGCAGTTGCCCACCATAGAAGATGTTCAGGCCTGCCTTTCTCTTGAGAAGTTTGACAGTCCTCCTTTCTTCCAGAATTCTAGCTTCAGTTTTAGGTTTATGCTCTGACCTTTGATCAAATGGTGTTTTGCACCATCTTGAGATTTTCATTCCCCTGGTTGTTAGGAATAGCATTTAAGGGATTAAAGCTAAACAAAGGTTAGAAAGAAATCTAGTGTTGGAGTGCATGAGGGTGTCTAACATGCTGGGCAGCAGGGCTGGGTGAGACGAGGGAATAATGGAAACTTTTAATCAGGGATATAAAGCCATCGTTTAGAGGTACACTGATGTTCTCTCCTTGGTATTAGAGTTTTAACTACTTTCTGGACAGACTGTCTGAAATAATTTTATCATCCTCTTTATTCCTTTTCATTTCTTTCATTTATAGGTAAGGTATTAAGAGTCAGGGTACCCCCATGAAGGACAGGATGTATAAACTTTGGGAATTTGTCCAGAGACCATGCTATTTTATGTGTAAATGACCAAAATATTTTACCTGTCTTAAGTCCATATTGCTGGAGTTTAATCAATCAAAAGAGTCTTTTAGCATAGATTTCATTCAAGCTATAATACAACAATATCACTAGTCATGTAATATTCAGAGACGCATTGATTTTTCCCACAATGACAGAAAGCCTGATGAATTATTAGAATGATGTATGTGGTTATTAAAAAGAAGGCAAAACAGAAAGGTGGCTGGAACTGTGGATTGTGGATGGGGTTTGGGGGCATCCCTTCTCATCATTTGTTCATTCAGCAAACATTTATTAAGCACCACTGATCTAGGTGAGGAGATACAAAGTTTTCATAAGACAGAGTCCTTGCCCTCATAAAGCTTATAGTCTAGTAGCCCCAAATCCTAGTTGTATTGATTTCTCTGCTTCCTTGTAAGTAGGTACTCTGGTCCAGGGGAGAGTATAAACTAGCATTTTAAGGTTTGAAAATGGAGGTATTTGGTAGGGGTAAAGCTGAGACTAAGAGCCTGGGCTGACATTGGGGAAAGGCCAAAGACTAGGAACAAGGCCAAGATCAGGAGTGAGACCAAAGAATGGGGTGTCAATTAGTTAAAGATATAAGAACAGGTCAGGGTCCAAGTTAAAGCATTTTCATCCAAGCAATCAATACCACATTTCTTTATCAAGTGTTCATTCACTATGTTCAAGATTCTGGGCCAGGTGTGGGTGACATAGAATTTATAATCTAAAGGGGGAATACAGAATATAGACAGTAAGTCAGTCAACTAACATTTATTAAGTATCTAATTATGTTTTAGGCACTGTGTTAAGCATTTGGGATACAAAGAAAAGCAAAAAAAAAGCAAAATTAAAAATAACTCTTTCCCCAATTTCCCCCCCAAACCCATCCCTGCTCTGTTTTGAGTTGCTCCCAGTAGAATGGAGGAGACGACAAGCAAACAACTATATACAAACAAGATTATACAAGATAAATTGGAACTAGTCTCAGAATGAAGAGACTAAGATTAAGCAAGTCTGGGAAAGACTTCTTGCAGAAGATGGAACTTTAGTTGAGACTTGAAGGAAGCCAGGGAAGCCAGAAGGTAGATTTGAGGAGGGAGAGACAGTCAGCATGGGAGACAGCAAAAATGCCTGGAGTGAGGAAATGGAATATCTTGTGCTAAGAACAGTAAGGAAACAAGTGTCACTGAATTCCAGAGTATATGGAGGGGAGTAAGGTGTAGGAAGACTGGAAAGAGAGGAGGGAGTTGACATGTGAAGGGCATTGAAAGCCAAACGGAGGATTTGATATTTGATTCTGGAGATAGATAGGGACCTATAAGAGTTTATTAATGGACTGACACAATTAGACCTATGCTTAAGGAAGATCATTTTAATAGCTGAGTAGAGGATAGACTGGAGTGGAGAGGGATAAGGCAGGAAGGTCAACAAGAAGGCTACCAAAGTAGTCCAGGTATGAGATGATGAGGACCTGCATTGGAGTGGTTGAAGTGTCAGATGATAGAAGTGGGTATATACGAAAGATGTTAGTATGGTATAAAGGTGGGTTATGATAAAAGCAAGAAAGGTACCATACTGTGGTAGATAGAAATCTGGTCCTGGGTAAGTAAATAAATAAGAAATGGGTTTCAATCATGCTCCTCATATGTATTAGCCTTGGGTATATCACTTAATCTTGCAGCATCCAAGGAACTCTCAAAGACTAGAAGTTGCAGGAGAGTTGAGGTACATGGATAGAAGCAGTTTTCTTACTTAGTCCACAAGTGTGGATTACTCTCTCCCACTCCTCCCCTAGGTTCCATCTCTTTTATCAAACCCTTACAGGGCATTCATGTATAAAACAGACATGAAAGACAATTTCCATATATTTTTCCAAGGAGAGATCAGGCCAAGATCTCTAGGTAAATTTGAAAGAAGAGGGGCAGCTAGGTGGTGCAGTGGAAAAGAATGTGCAGAAATCAGGAGGACCTGTGTTTAAATCCAGGATCAGACATTTGCTAGCTGTGTGACCCGGGACAAGTCACTTAACCCCAATCGTTTCCCCCAACTCCATGCAAAAAAAAAAGATTTGAAAAAAGAACAATTACTTTCAGTTTGAGAAGATGTATAAGGTGGATCATGGAAGACTTTATGGATGAGGAATACCTGAAGTGTAACTTAAGGGAAGAGAAACATTTGAATAATTGGAGATGAAGAGGTAGGAAATACCAGGCAGGGGGATGGGCTGTACAAATGCATGGAGGTGGATACACCATTTCGAGTTTGGGGAACAACTAACAATTTCGTGTAACTAGCATAGAGTAATTAAGAGTAGTATGAAATAGTACCATAGAGATAGGTAGTAGCAAGATTGTAGAAGGCATAATGGTACACTGAAGAGTTTGTAGTTTGTCCTATAGGTAGTGTGGAGCCATGAAAAGTTTCTGATCAGGGTATTGATGTAGGCATTAAGAGGATTATTTTGGCAGCTCTGTGAAAGATTACTTGAAGATGAAAGCAACTGGGGAGAGAGGTTCAGAGGCCATTAAGTCAAGAGATCAGGAGGGTGGTAGACATGTGAGTGAAGAAGAGACAGATATGAGAAATACAGTTCAAGTAGAATGGATAGGTCTTGGCAACTGATTGGATAGGGGGTTGGGAGTGAGAGATAAAGAAAGATAGAATATGCCTCTGAAGTTTCAAGCCTAGGTGACTAGTTGTAGGTGTTAGGAAGAAGTAAGAAGTTTAGAGAGGAAGGTGATGAATTTAATTTTGGAGACACTGAGCTAGGTGCCACCAAGACATCTAAGGAGAGGTGTTCAATAGGCAGCAAAAGATGTGTGGCTCTTCAGCTTAGGGAAGAGATTGGCCTAGCTACAGAGATTTTTAGAGTCAACTACATAAAGGTGATAATTAAAGCCATGTTTTGTAGCTTCAGACCAGCCATTTGGACATTAGTGAGTTCAAAAGTTCTTGGGAAGGACATGCACGGATTACTCATGGTTAGCAGCAAGCCAATTTTATTGCAAGGATACACAGAGCAGTCTGGGCACTCGCCAATTGCCTCACAAGTGGTAGGTGAAAGCTTTTGTCAGTAGTCCTTTTACTAGGTCCTGTTTACTGCCTAGAGCTATTCTAAGCCCTGACACTAGACTGAAGTGGAGATAACTAGCAGGTCATAGCTCTCTGTCAGTCTCAGCCTTATTTGGTACTGAGGTGTTTTTTTTTTTTTAAATCCATGGGCTCAGAGGATGGAAAAATTCCAAAAGACTGGCTGTGTGCCAAGGATTCAGTATGTGTTGATAACCAGGAAAAAAATGTGACCAAGATAAGGAGAAATCAGGGAAGCAATATAAGGAGAAGTTGGGGAAGTAAGAATATAGAGAAATCAGAAGACGTTTCTTTTTAGAAAACCTCTTGGGTTAAGCCCTAAGGAAATAGAACCTACCTGTGAAAAGGAACTTAAGGCCACTTGGATGACAAAGTGGTGCTTGATGACAAAATGGGGATTTGGCAGCTGTTCCAGTAAAACTAACCTTGCCATAGGCTCCCATGCCATGGGAGTGGATGGAGTCCCAAAGGAAAGAGTAGGAAGAAGAGGGTTGAAGATGGAGTCTTAGGGGACTCTTATACTTGGTAGAGGTGGTGGTGGTGGTGGTGGAAGATAGGATGAATTATCTAAGAGAATTAGGGAGCATTCATACACATAGGAGGAAAGCTAACAGAGTACAGTATCACTGAATTCCAAGTAGGAAAGGGGATAGTAAACAATATTCAATATTACAGAAGGGTGAAAGAGAATGAAGACTGAGAAAAGGTCAAGGATTTGGCGATCAAGAGAACATGGAGATTTTGGAAGGAACAGTTTTGGCAGAGGGGCAGGCTCAGAAGCAAGACCTGAAAATTGGGAAATTGTGCCCACTGTGTGACCATCCAATGGAGACACTTAGTCTTTACTGCAACATATGGACTTTGAATCACCGTAAAATAGATACCTGTTGCTAATAGCAAAATCTCCTGAAATTAAGCATATGTGGGATATTAAAGGTAATGTTAAAAAGTGCCCCTTATTGTGACTTGCCGACTTTTCCCCTTAGCCTTACTAGGCAGGTGGTGTAGTACTGTATTTGGAGACAAGAAGATCTGAATTCAGATCCTATCTCAGCTGTGTGATCTTGGACAAGTCATTTAAACTCTCAACCTCAGTTTCTTAATTTGTAAAATATATGGGTTGTACTCAGTGGCTTCTAAGATCCCCTCCAGCTCTAACTCTCTAGTCCTGTGTTTTATTCTAGTCGACTGCTTGCCTTGCTTACCTCTAACCAAACCCTCAGAATAGGGAAGTAGGTTAAAAAAAAAGGTTTTGGGTACAGTGCTTCCATACCCGAAGGGATCTGTGATCTCATTGGTGTAACTACTTTCTCCAGTGGCAGAGACAGTAACTCAGTCATGCCTTCTTATTTGTATAATTGTCAACTGCATCCTTCCATAAATTCTCTATAGTGAATTTGTACACTGAGAATTCACTGCACTGAAGTCCCTTTTCTGATTTTTTTTTAAGGCAATTAGGGTTAAGTGACTTGCCCAGGGTCACACAGCTAGCAAGTGTCAAGTGTTTGGTCTGAGGCTGGAGTTGAACTCAGGTCTTCCTGACTTCAGGGCCGGTACTCTGTCCACTGAGCCACTTAGCTGCCCCCCTGTTCTGATTTTTAAAAAGAGCATTTTGTGGATACCAGTGGGCTGGATTGGGTTGGTTTTTTCTGTGCTGAAAATAGGTTCTCACACTAGGATTTCTTTTCAACTAAGCAGGTGCAGAATTGAGCAATTACCAGGAAGGAGAGTGAAAGACGACTCTGAAATTTTAGATCTAGGTGACTGGGGGGATAGTAGTTATAGAAGTTGGGAGGAAGAGGACAATTTGGTGAGGTGGAGAAGATGTCTTTGAGCTTCACTTTTCTCATCTATAACCCTCTCCTCACACCAAGGAATTCACTTTTAAAAAATGGGGGCTAATGCCAATCCTATTAAATATGCTCATTACATATGACTCCTTTAGTCCCCAGTTTAGTAGAATATCACTATTTGGAGAGTACGAAAAAGATCTTTTAAAAAAATCTGTGGCTATCATGGGACAACTAGTGGTTTCAAATAGAATGCAGGGTCTGGACTTAGGCTCAGACTCATCTTCCTGAGTTCAAATCTGGCCTCAGACACTTACTAGCTACATGACTCTGGGCAAGTCACTTAACCCTGTTTGCCTCAGTTTCCTCATGTGTAAAATGATCTGGAGAAGGTAACGGCAAGCCACTCCAGTATCTTTGCCAAGAAAATCCCAAATAGGGTCATGAAGAGTCAGACACGACTGAAACAACTGAACAACAACAAAATGGATATCATGTATCATATTTCTTTTATGCAGGAATGCCCTGGAAGGATTTGATAAAGCAGATGGAAACTTTGATTCAACAGCAGCGAGCCTTCATAACTTGGTTCATGCTTTCCTGAATGGCACTAGTGCTTTCCCCCATTCTGCTGCAAATGACCCCATTTTTGTGGTATGTCCTTTTTAAATACTTATAGGAGATAAAGATGCCTCGAAGGTGAGTTTTTCTTTTCCTTAAGAATTAAAAAAAATTATATCAAGATTTGGCAGGTAAGTATTATTTAATCTAGGAGCAACCTTTTGGATCATGTCAATGTGTACAAGTGTTAACATTGTTCCAAAGCAGAGGTTGATCTAAATAAATGTCTCATTGTCCTTGCCTCAGAAGAGAACATTTTGATAGTTAAACTGTAAGTTTTAGGTTACAAAAAAGTTCATCCTTATTTAGAGATTTATTTGGTTTTGAAAATGTGCTCCATGGGACAATGTCTTGAGACAAAGTAGTAAGTTGGCCAAAGGTCTCATAACCATGTTATTCCAATGATCCTCAGTCAATAGCTAATCAATACAAAGTCTGTTGAGAAGCATTAAATGACATAAAAATCAGTGTTTCAGCAGTGAACCTTGACTATATCTCTGCTTTATAGATAGTTACTTAACTCACCATAAATTATCTTCAAATTATCTGTCTTCATGGCTGCACATGTTTGGTAGATGGTTTCAAAGCAATAATGAAAAGAAATTTGATCCCTGATCTTTTCTTAGGCTACCCCTATTGTAAGACTATTTTCTTGCATAGATATGTCCAGACACATTGCAGCAACAACTGGCCCATTTCCCTCTTCAATGTGTCACCAGTCATAGTATTTGTGTTAAAAGACAGCACAGTGATGCAGTAGAGTCAGACTCAAAGTCAAAAAAGCTCTAGGTTCAAGTCCTTTGACACATACACTCTCTGTGATCCTAGCCTTAACCTCTTAGTGTCCCAGGAGATTCCCTATGGCTACAGGTGGAAGAACTGTTTCCAATCTACATTGGTGGAGGGGATTTCTTCACTAAGAATCCAAGATAAAATTGAAATTAATGGGTTTCTTTTGTGTATTGTGGGGTGTGTGTGCGTGCGCCTGCATGCACGCAGGCGTGTGTGTGTGTGTGTGTGTGTGTGTGTGTGTGTGTGTGTGAGAGAGAGAGAGAGAGAGAGAGAGAGAGAGAGAGAGAGAGAGAGAGAGAAATGTCCCTCTCAGGGACCTGTATTGTCTTTAGAACTTTCAGTGCTACTGTGGGGGTGGGGTACTACCATGTTTGTAAAGCATCAGGGGTCACTAGGGAGTGAACAGCTTTTCCCACCCCCAGACATGTACAATTCATGTAGCTCACAGTAGCAGTGAAGGGCAAAGTCTAGTTCCCATTTGGTTCACTATTCCTGTCCTTTGGTCTAGGTACTTGGGGTGATCTAGGAACTCCTCCACTTGATCAAGGAACTCTTGTGGTCCCAATAGTCCCTGAACCATATAGTTCCCTGGAAGAACTGAAACTTAGGGCAGGGAGACTTTGACCTAGGCTTTGACTCAGGTCACTGAAAATATAGGGCATTGGTAGTACAATCCAGCAACTTAGAAACTCCATGCATTTAACAACTAGTTAATAAGAACAATTAGTTAAAATAGGATGTTACGAGAATACATGATTCCCTATCCCCATCTTGGTAGTCATGTCCAGGTAAATTCCTTTTTAAGCCAGTTCTGGTCTCCCCACCTCCACAGTGACATCCCCAGGAGTGATCTCATGGTGTCTCAGGGTTTCTGGAATTGTTAGTTGCACAATGTTGTCCACATTTCTATGGAGGGGCCATACAGATGCTCAGGCCAACTTCTAAGTCCAGAATCCTGATGTATGCAAATGGCTTCTTTCTGTCCAACCTTGCAGCTATTGTTCTCTCATCTATCTATACCTGAGACCTTCAAAAAGCAAACTCCAAATGTATAGCCAAGGTGAATGAACTGACCATGAAGAAGGGCAGAGTGGACAGAGCATTGGAGTTGGGATCAGATAGATCTGGGCTCAAAACTGCCCTCATCCAACTTACTAGCTAATTGACCCAAGGCCAGTCCCTTAATATCTTTCAGCCTCATTTTCCTCATCTGTCAAATGAAGGGGTTGGACTCAGTGACCTCTATGGTCCCTTCTACCTCTAACGTTATGATTTTATGAATCAATTAACCTCAATATCTTACTTAAGGGACAACAGAGGACTCAGGACCAGGCCAGTTTTAAACCTCATTAAAGAGCTAAGTTGTGAAGGGGATTTAACAGTTGATTAAGGAGACTTTACCAATGTCTCAACAAACACCTCTTCAGTGAAAACCATGAAGACTGCACAATGCTTGGAAAACCCTACTACACTCAGAAATGCTCCCTTTTTGGAGGGGAGGGATTGAGCTACAAACCATCATATTTACCTAAACTTTATTATCTAGTGGCTGTGACAATTTAATCTACCTCCTATTCATCAGCTTTGTTAGAGACACCAATTGTTAGTAAATATAAGCCAAACTTTTGCTTTAATTTCTTTCCATTTGCCCCCAGCTGTAGCTTTCTCTTCAGCAATTAGTGAGCCACTTACTTTAGATACTGTGGGATGCTTGTGTAAAGGACTGGAGATTGTGTAGAGGATTGATAGTGTACTCAGACATTATTTACCTCAGTTAACAAATAGTTATTACAGTTAACCTCTATGTGGCCACACTTATGTCAACTTGTAATTTTTTATAAGCCTATTCCCCCAGTGAAAAAACAATCAGGGCTTGCCATATGTGGAGGCAAAATGATCATTTCAGGGAAGGCCCTGTAGGCTCCCCCAAATTCAAAATTGCTATCTGCTTAGCAACCAAACATTATAATGGGGTGGAGGAAGAATCTACTAGAAAAATCAGAAAGAGTTGGGCTACACAAACATGGCTTTATTCCGGAGTACCCCTGCCTTATAAGGTGACTTTAGAGAAAAGATCACTTTGAGACAGCACTGGGTGACAGGAGAGATAGGTGAAAGACATCTGAATGATAGTCAATTAGGTAATCACTGTGGTAGGACTAATGTGCATAATAGCAATAACTTTATAATGGTTATATTGCAAAATTCTCACCCAATGTTCTTTCTAGAAGCCAGGTTTATCTAGGCAGACAATTCACTTCTATAATGTTACAATATGGAATGATCAGAGTTGCTATATTTGAAGTCTGAAGTTTTGGGTTCAAATCCCTACTCTGACACTGAATAGCAAATAAGATGATATTAAAAATGTAGTTGTCCTTGACTTCCTGACCCAGCATCATCATTTCTGAATCTTTGTTCTCTGTGCTTCAAACTTCAAGCATTTGGCAGCACTGCTCAACATAAAAGACTTCCTCAGGAAAACATGCAATGTAGGGAAACGTAAATACAAATATGAAGGGAAAAGTACCCAGGATACTAGATCACACAGCATGTGTTCTACTCAGCTTCCTAATTGATCTTCCTCAAGTACAGGCCTGACCACGCCTCCCCTCTCCCCTCTCCCCCATTTAATAAACTCTAATAGCTCCAGAATCAAATATAAAATCCTGTTTGGCCTTGAAAACACTTCACAACTTGGCTCCTTCCTCTCTTTCCAGTCTTCTTATACATTACTCCCCTCTATATACTCTGTGATCCAGGGACTTTAGTTTTCTTTCTGGTCCTCGAACAAGACACTCCGTCTCTCAAGTCTGCCTTTTTTTTTTTTTAAAGGCAATTGGGATTAAGTGACTTGCCCAGGGTCACACATCTAGTAAGTGTCAAGTGTTTGGTCTGAGGCCCAATTTGAACTTAGGTCCTCCTGACTTCAGGGCTGGTGCTCTATCCACTGCATCACCTAGCTGCCCCAAGTCTGGGCATTTTTGCTAACTGAATTCCGTGCCTAGAACTCTCTCCTTCCTTAGCTCTAACTTCTAGCTTCCCTGGTTTCCTTTAGGTCTCAAGTAAAGTCCCATCTTCTGCAAGAAGATCCCAATCCTCCTTAATCTAGTGCCTTCCTTCTGAGATCATCTCCAGTTTATCCTGTATACATTTTTTTTGTACATAATTGTTTACAGGTCATCTCTGCTATTAGACTGTAAACTCCTTGAGAGCAGGGACTGATTTTTGCCTTTCTTTGTATCTCCAGTGCTTAGCACAGTGCCTGAAACATAGTAGCAACCTAATAAATGCTTATTTACTAAGAAGTCTCACTCAGGTCACTTACTCTACCTCCTTCCACCAATAATAAATTATAATAATATAGTGTATTATGTATATTATAATTACAATATATTATAATAACATATAAATAAATAATATTTTATATAGCACTTTAAGATTTGAAAATTTTTTTTACAAATATTATGTCATTTTATCCTCACAACAGCCTTTGGAGGTAGGTGCTATATTATCCCCATTTTGCATGAGGAAACTGAGGCAGTCAGAGTTAATTGACTTGCCTAGGGTCACACAGCTATTAAGCATCTGGGGCAGGATTTGAATTCAGGCTTTCCAGATTTTAAGTCCTATATTCTATCCACTGTGCCATCCAGCTGCCTGATATTACAAAATGGATCATTCTGTAACTTTCACATAATGCACCAGATGGGACCCCAGCCCCAAGACCAATGCTCTATCAACTTTGTTATGCTGCCAGCATATGACCTCAGAAAGGGAGAGAAATGGGTGCCTTCATCAGAGTCATTGTCCATTTCCTGCTATCACAGATTGCAAAGTCGTGTGATGTAGTGAAAAACGTATAAGGTGTGAGGTCAGAAAACTTGGATTTGAACCCTGGCTCTGCTACTACCCTTTGGGTGATATTGGGAAACTCATTTAACCTCCCTTGTCCTCATCTACAAACTGAGGGGTTGGATTAGATTACCTTTAGCTCTAAATCTATAATTGTATGATGGACAGTTCTGCCTCCCTGAGTGTGATAGCCCTTTTTGGGCTTTCCTTGGCCAAAGGGTTAAAAAAGATTTTGAATTTGTGTCCTAGAAGTGAACTGTTTCAGCATGTTTCAGGTAAGAAAAGGTAGAAAAGTCACGGTAAAGAATGTTTTGCATATCCTTCAATGTTAGCACTATTAGTATGCTAATTTGAAATGTTTTATGAGAATTTTTTAAAGGAAGAATCCCACTCCAACTTTCTATCTACTCTGTATTTATCTTAAGTATATTTATTTATGTATATGTTTTCTTACTCATGAGAAGGTAAACACTTTGAGGATAGTGACTCTTTTTGCTTTTTCTTTTCATCCTCAACACTTAGCACAATGCCTGGAATGTAGTAAGTACTTAAATGCTAATGATTGCTTGATTGATTAATTTCATATAACAAAGCTTGGAGATGGGTTTGGAAAAGGCTAGCACTGAATGTTGTGTTCAACTTCATTGCAGGTTCTTCATTCTTTTACTGATGCCATTTTTGATGAGTGGATGAAACGCTTCAATCCAACTATCAATGCCTGGCCTCCAGAGCAAGCACCCATTGGTCACAATCGGATGTATAATATGGTCCCTTTCTTTCCTCCTGTGACAAATGAGGAGTTCTTCTTAACTGCAGACCAACTTGGCTATGATTATGCTATTAACTTGCCAGGTAACCATTATAATTGGTTCATTGTCTGAAGCAACATGCTTTTTTCCTTCTCTCTCAATCTGTCTCTCAAATGAACAGAGGACTATAAATAAGGCATTCAGTGTTGATTTAGATTATTGGCTATTCTACTAATTATATTCGCAAGTATTTTGAAATGAAGCTCTAAGATCCTGAACGAAGCAGGTGAATGACTGGTGTTACCATACACTGTGACTACACTTAACTAAAGCTATGTCTATCCATACAACTGATTTTGCTATTGTGACTAAATTAACTGTATAGCTTTTCAGTTTCGAAGGGGAAAAAATAGTCAAGCTGGCTGCCTCTATTGAGCAATCAGTTAAATGAAAATGGTTAATGGGCTGGCACAATGGCCCTAGAGTGTCTCAGAGATAAAATTCATAGAGCTTCTAACCAATCTACCACTTAACTGAAGCAAAGAGAAAGTAAAACAGTATAAGTAGTCAAGAATAATTAAGTAGATGTTTAAAAACAATATATTTATTTGCAGGTGGCTTTTCCCTAATCTAATCCATTTACTCTTTCCTCATTCTTGACCTAATAGAAGGTCAGAGAGTCAATCTATACCCTTACTTCTGCTACTTTGGCTCAGTGTCAACACAAGCCATCAGCTCCTGCTTCTGGCTCTAATTAGTCTTTGTTATAGCTTACTATAGCTTATGAATTCCACATTAATCCCTCGCCAATTTCTCATGGCATATGTCTCCTGAGATAGTAAAGAACTCTATATTTTATTTTGTCTATCTTCTCTCCTGTGTTAAAACTAAGAGGAACTATGTTGGGCAGGTAGATGGAGCAGTGGATAGAGCACCAGGCCTGGAGTCAGGAAGACTTGAGCTCAAATCCTGTCTCAGATACTTACTAGCTGTGTGACCCTGGGCAAGGCACTTAACTCTATTTGCCCCACTTTCCTCATCTGCAAAATGAGTTGGAAAAGACAAACCACTCCAGCATCTTTGCCAAGAAAACCCCAAATGAAGTCATAAAGATTTGGACATGGCTGAAACAACTGAACAACAACATGATAGGGGAGATGTACTCAGCTCATATTAGTCTTCATTCTAATGTAAGCCAATCTGTAGATGATCTAAGGTGGGGCCCAGAATTGAGCTCTGGTGGATCCAATAGGCCATTAAGGAATTTATAGTTTGAGCTGAGGAGATAAAACATAAATGCATAAAATGTGCAATAACAGCATTAACTAATATGTAATTATGTACCATATAGCATAATGCTACATGAGTTCAAAGAAGGGAGTCATCAATTAATTCAGGAAGGTTTCACATAGGAAATGGGCTTTGGGGACTAGGTGGAATTTGGAAAAGTTGAAGAGAGAAGAAAGAGAACATTTTAACTTGGAGAAACAATGCAAATAAAAGTACAAGTAGAAGAAAGGTTGCTTTTAAAGATTCATCATGAGGATTAACGGCAGTTAAGGTCAGATAATCAAGAGGGGGTCCAATTAGGGACTAGGGAGGAGAGCTTGAGGTTTATGTGGTAGACAGTGAGGAGTCACAGTGGATTCTTGAGGAGAATGATGAGATTACACTAGTATTTTAGGAAGATTAATTTATCAGCAGGGCATAGAATGAGGTGCTCTAGCAAGTACTGGTCTTGGAGTTAGGGGATCTGGGTTCAAGTTGCACCATTGACATTAAATTTGCCATTCTGGACAAGACACAGATCCACTATGAGTCTCAGTTTTCTCATTTATAAAATGGGTATGATACACTATCTATGTGAAAATCTTATGATCATCAAATGAGATGGTTTATGGATGTGTATCTATGTATGCCTAATCTATGAAAGTGCTTTGTAAATCTTAAAACACTATACATATATATGGAAACACGTATGTATATGTCAAGATTTATAGAAATATTTATATTGATATTATAGTAGGGAAAGGCCAAAGACAGGGACACTAATTCAGGGTTGAAGAGCCAGTATGGTGTAGTGGAAAGAAAACTGGAGTTAGAACAATTGGGTTCAAACCCCAGCTCAGCCTCTTATTACCTGTGTGATTTTGGGCAAGTGCTTTAACTTGTCTGGGCATCAGTTTCCTTTTCCATAAAGTGAAATAGTTGAATCATATGGCCTCTAAGATTCTTTCCAATTCTAAATCTAGGTTATTATGCGGTAGTTCCATTCAAGAAGATCCTGAATTAGGTGGTTGTTGTTGGGAATGGAAAGGAAAGGGAGTGTACGCCCTGGTGCTGGGTTATCTAGCTCAATACTCTTATTTGAGGAAATTAAGGCCCTGAGAGTTTTTGTGACTTTAGGGAAAGATGATGAATCCTGTTTTGGAGTTCAAGCAGAGATGTCCAAATGCCACTTGATGATACACTACTGGGACTCAGAAGAGAGATGAATGTTTGATTTTGTAAAAATGTTTTGAGTTAACATAATTAAACATTATGTGAAAGAATAGAATATTACTATCTACCTTCTTCTAGAAAAGTAAGTAGATTTTGACCAATAGTTGTGCTGGAATAAGTGTGGCATAATGGCTAGTTCTAATTCTGGGTCCTAATTCTTCCTCAGATATTTACTAGCTGTGTGATAACCTGGTAATTCACTTTGCCTCTCTAATAGTCACTCACTAGTTAATGAGAACCTCAGTTTTCTTCATGTATAAGATTGGGATAATGATAGCCCCCTACTTGTGAGAATCAAATGATATCTCATTTGTTGTATAAAGCACTTTGTAATCCTCTATAAATATGAGCTATCATGATTTGTTGTGTGACCTTGGGCAAGTCATTTGATCTTTGAATCTCAGTTTCTTCATCGTAAAGTGAAGGAATTGGATTTGACCTCTAAGGTTCTAACTCTAGCTCTATGATTCTGTAGGCTAGTCAATTTTATTCAAGCAAGTTGTACATAATTGATTTGTAGTTTCATGTACAATTATCTTTTTTATTATACTATATTACAGAAGTGCTTTTTCTATTCCAGAAATTAAAAAAAACATAAAAAATGTAAATTAAATGTAAAAAAAAACCGGGTTCATTCTTTTTGGTCTTCTGATCTGCTATGTAAAACATTAAATACATTAAAGGTGACTTTTTGCTTCCAGAAAAAAGAAAGAAAGAAAGAAAGAAAGAAAGAAAGAAAGAAAGGAAGGAAGAAAAAGAAATATTATGCTTTGGTACACTGTGTCACTGAGTACCAAAGATGCATGTCAAAAGTGGTTTGTTTCTTTTATTTCTTGGGATGTTTAACTGCTAAATGTCTTTGACCTAACCCAGACCTTCATTCTCTGTTTCAGCTTTGTCTTCAGTGAAAGCTACCCAGCGCCAGACTCTAATCCTGTCAGTTATTGGGGCAGGCCTAGTGGCTTTAGTAGCCTTTTCTGTGCTACTAGTTCTCCTTCAGTACAGAAGACAGCGGAAAGGATTTATGCCTCTGATGGAGACCAGATTTAGTAACAGGAAATACACAGAAGAAGCCTAATACTAAAAAATACTTGCTTTTCAACTAAGCCTCCGAAGAAAGAGCCTGGTCAAATTGTAAGGAATTAGCTTGGTTACTGGTTCTGTTCTGACTTGGATATTGAAAAGATTATTTCCCAGGGAGGTAATTGAATTGTTCTTTCTTTCACTGAGCATGTTGTTGGAATAGGTCTTCTTAGTGTGGCAATGTTCCAAAACATAGGAAATACTTAGCTTTTCTTTGAATAAACTCACAGCTAGAATACTTGGGAAGTTTCTGTTGCTAAATAAAGGTAGAGCTCATGATTTTTATCTGAAGACAATCATTTCCCACACATCTCAATCTCCACCATCACCTGAGAGCACCAAGATATGAAGAGGAGAAAGTCACTTAGAATTTGAAGACCATAGAATTTTAGAGATAGAAGTTAAATTAGTGATTGTGCCCACTTATAAATGGGCTTCTGTTCAGCACATATGACTTGGAAGACCTTTCCTCAAGTTGATTCTTCTCCAGAGGACTTGCATTTAATTTTATGTGAAAATTAAAATAAAATTTCAACTTAGATCTTCAAATTGCCATTTTTTTTTCAGTGTGGGGACAAAGAGGGAAAGAGAAATTAGAACCTTAAACATACAAAGTTACACACAAAACCATATATACATAAATGCACACATATAATATTTAAGCTGGAAGTTAGGTTTTCTCCAATTAATTAGTTTTATCTTCAGCTTATTTACATCAGAATAATTTCCTGATATACTCCCTACAATCTTGAATCCTCCAATGTCACAAAGAAAAATTTGAGCCAAATCTAATTGACAAAATAATCACATACAACAGTATTTACAACGTAATTCCATACCTAATAATCCACCTTTTTAACAAAATAACTCCTATGCATCTGTCAAAATTATACAGTATTTCTTGAAAGATAAAATAATAGAAATAACTTTGTTTGACAACTCTTTGTTTATTACATCAAGAGAGCCTTAAATTGGAATATAAGCGTATCCCTGCCACTGCCAGGGAGGATGTTCACTGCAGAGTGGGATTCCCTATAGAGGGTGAGATGTTCCTATTTGTAGCTGGCACTGTGCTGGTTGCAACAAGTTCTGGAATGTCTGGAATGTCCTAATGAGAGTCACAGTCACTCAAAAGAGTCCAGTTAAACTGTCCACAAAGGAAAACCCCCTAAAGACAATGAAAGTGTTATGCAGATGATGTTTGTGATAGAGCTGAGCCATCAGTACTCAAATCTTGGACAGAATCTGTGAATGGATAAAGAACTGAATGAAAGGAAAAGAGAAGGCTGAACTGCTTTTGGAAAATTATCCTTATAATTATCTCAAGCTTTGAATACCACAATCTCTGAGGAACTAAAGTTATAGGTCACTTAAATGCATGCTCAGTATGAATAAACTACAATGAATTGACATAACCTGTATAGATAGCTAGCATCCATACAAGTATTGTCTCATTTGATCCTCACAACATCCCTGATAAGTGTTTAGTCCTTACGGCCGTGTCCAACTCATTGTGACCCCATTTGGGGTTTTCTTGACAAAGATACTGGTGTTTTCCATTTTCTTGACAAAGATACTGGATTTGCCATTTCTCCTCCAGCTTATTTTACAGATGAGGAACTAAGGGAAACAAGGCTAAGTGACTTGCCCCTGTTGCACTGCTAATAAGTGTCTGAGGTCAGACTTGAACTCATGTCTTCCAGACTCTAGGCTTGGTACTCTATCCACTGTACCCTAGCTGCCCCAGGAAGTAGGTGCTATTGTTTCTCCATTTTACAGAAGAATAAACTGAGGCAATTAGGGTGACTTGGCCTGCATCACATAAGTTTCAAGTGTCAGAGACTGGGCTAGATCTCCTTCACTTTACCTCGCAGAATCTGTTTCCTCATCTGGAAAATGAGACCTTTGGACAAGAAGGCCCTTGAGGTACATTCCGGCTCTAAATTTTTGATCCCCTGATCTCCAAGGGACTCCAACAGGGATGCATACAAGCATACCGAGTGTTCAAGGGGTAACGATTTGTCTCTCTTTCCTTGCAGTACCATCTGTGGGGACGTTGTGTGCACACTGCCACCAAATGAATGACATAATTGACTCTGACCATTATCTATGAAGACTGGGTTGTGTATGGGTCAGGAAGTCTTTTCCTCCATGTAACTTTATCTATAGATCAGACTCTCTGCTCACATTTCTTTTTTTCCAAGTCCCTTCCTCTTCCAACCTGTGCATACACACACACACACACACACACACACACACACACACACACACACACATACATACACACTATATATACATATATACACACAAATATACATATATACACACACTGTATATACATATACACACAATATATACACACACATATACATATATACACACACTATATACACACACATATATACATATACACACACATATATACATACACACACTATATATACACATATACACACTATATATACATATATACACACATATATACACACACTATATATACACACACTATATATGCACACACATATATACATATACACACATATATACATATACATACACATATACACATATACATATATACACACAAACTATATATATACACATACATAAATACACAGATACACACACATATATACACACTATATATACATATACACACATATACACATACATACACACATGATATATACACATATACACACATGTACATATATACACAAACTATATATACACACATATATACACACACTATATACACACACATATACATATATACCCTATATATGCACACACATACATACACACACTATATATACACACACATATACAGATATATACACAAACTATATATATATACACACACATATATACACATATATACACACACATATACATATATACCCTATATACACACACACATACATACACATACTATATATATACACACACATATACAGATATATACACACACTATATATACATATACACACATATACATATATATACACACACGATATATACATATACACACATATACATATATATACACACACGATATATACATATATACACACAATATATACACACACATACATATATACACACACTATATATACACATATATACATATACACACATATATACATATATACACACTATACCCACACATACCCACATATACACACACTATACATACACACATATATACACACACTATATATGCACACACTTATACACACATATACATACATATACACTCTATATATACACACATATACACTCTATATATACACACACATATATACATATACACATACTATATATACACACACAACACACTATATACACACACGTACACACTATATGTACACACATATATGCATATACACACACATATACATATATACACACTATATATACATATATACACACACATATACATATACACACACACTATATATACATGTATACATACATATATACATATACACACTATATATACATACAAACGCACACTATATATACACACACATATACATATAAACACACACTATATATACACACATATACATATATACACACACTATATATACATATACACACTACACACATATACATATACACACACATATATACATATACACACACTATATATTCGCACACATACATATATACACACACTATATACACACATATACATATATACACACATATGCGCACACACATACATATACACACATATACACACATACGTACATATGTGTGTATGTGTATATATATATATATACACATCTACATCTCTCTCTCTCTCTCTCTCTCTCTCTCTCTCTCTCTTTCTCTCTCTCTCTCTCTCTCTCTCTCTCTCTCTCTCTCTCTCTCTCTCTCTCGTATAGGAAAATTCAATCATACTCAAAAGGATCTGGCTCCACTAGATTCCTTCAAGGCATCACATGCATCTCTAGTGTCCCCTAGTGGCTGAATGTGGAGGAAAAGCTGTGTACAGAACATTGAATCCTTTCATCTAGGGACCTCCTCATTCTCTTGCTATGCCTGTGCATTATTTCAGAGATAACAAAGGTGGGACTAACTGAGTTAATAATAGCTAGAATTAACATAGAGCTTTAAGATTTACAAAACACTTACAGTTATATCATTTTTATCCTCACAATGTAGGGACTATTATTATAGCCATTTTACCAATGATGAAATAAGGTAAACAGATTATGTGACTTGCCCAGGGTCACACAGATAGTAAAACACCTGAGTCCAGATTTGAACTCAAGTATTCTTTATCTGCTCCCTATTTACTGCATCACTTGCTTTATCATTAGCTAGACTAGCTGCTTTAAGAAAGAAAGAAAGAAAGAAAGAAAGAAAGAAAGAAAGAAAGAAAGAAAGAAATTCATGGAATTGGATTATTTTGCTCTGAAAAATCAGATAAATCGGGCAGCTAGGTGGTGCGGTGGCCCTGAAGTCAGGGGGACCTGAGTTAAAATTCTGGCTCAGACCAAACACTTGACACTTACTAGCTGTGTGACCCTGGGCAAGTCACTCAACCCCAATTGCCTTAAAAAAAAAAAGAAAAAGCAGATAAATGTGGAAATCAGTAATAACAAAAAGCAAAAATCCCAAATAAGGCCTTAAAGGAATGTATGTCTAGCATAGTAGGAATTAGGATTATGAACCAGCTTGGTTAGTACAGAAGGTGGATTATGTAGTGGAGAGTGAGCAGGATTGTGAAGGACCCCAAGATCCCACAAGACAAAAACTTAAAGGAACTGGGGGTGTTCAGCCTGGAGAAGGGGAGGCTCAGGAAGGGAATATGATATCTGGCTTCAAGTATTGGAATGACTTTTGAGTGGGAGAGGTATCAAAATTATTCTGTTTGGCCCCAGAGGACAGAACAAAGGAAGTTAAAGAGAGGCAGATTTGGCTCAGTATCAGGAGAAACTTTCGAATAGTGGGAACTATCTTAAAGTGGGATAGGCTGCTTCC